TTTTGGATTTTTGACTTCATTGTATGTAGGGCTTCGTTTTTAGGACTCATGCATAGTCTGAACTGAATTTTTTTCTTCCAGAGTTCTTTTTCTTTTCCCTTTTTGTTTCTACCAGGCACCTCAGGGATATTACCAGCCAAGGACTGACTCCTTTTTATACTACAATGAGGGCTCCTGGACCACGGAGATGAAATAAAAGAATCAAACCATGAACTCAAGAGAAGGCAGGCCTATGGTTATAAATTCTCAGGGAAGACAATACTTTTCCTACCCAGAGCCCATGATGAGATAAATTTTCTTGTTATTTCCCTGTGCTGTCAGAAAGTACTGGCCTTTGAGAGCCCTAACCTTACACAGGATTTGAGTTCTCACTGCCCACACACTGGAGTGAGCCTTGTCTCCTGTCCTCATACAGGCATCAATATCCAAGCCTCTTAGCTACCAAGACCAGCAAACCCTACCTGACAGCTATAGCAGCATCTGGTCTTTTACCATGCTCTCATAAATATTATAGAAATTCCTCATCTCCTTTAACATCCTTTTCCCCACTCCACAGATTATTTTCTGTATTTTCATCCAACTCTTCTTCCTTTTGACATTCTATAAACAGAGCACTTAGAACTATGCTTTGGCAGCTCAGAATTCTTCTAGGCTCTACCCTCTATTTCAAAGCTCTTCCTATAGGTACAGGCTCTGTCTCTTGCTGTGTATCTTTAGTATCTAGTTCTCACTCTGCTTTGGGAGTTTGCCCCAGGACACTGTCTTTCTTATCTCTAAGAAGTGTAGCATGTGGGCAAGCCCCACTCCATCCACATGTCCAAATCAGCCTCCACCTTATCTAGAGATCAGCAGAATTTCTGCATGATTATTTGTGATGTTTGGCAACCCACTGATCACTTACCTAGCTAATCTGATGAACAGAAGAATTATATGTAATAAAAAGGAAAAACATACAAAAACAAACAAAAGAAACCAAAGAATACCTAAAATCGAGGATTTAAGAATATGATCCAAAGCATACCTCTATATCATCTTTGAAGATGGCTGGGGCAGGTTTGTATTCTGGATCTTCCACATCCCTGGTAAAACACCAACAAATGCTATCATTATTGTTAAATAGACTTAAACCTCTTGACAGGACAAACAAATGGATTTTTGTTGGAGGAATTTTTTAGTTTGTTTTAAAGGTCAGACTGAAGTCTCTGTTTTCTAGCCAGAGAAGCCCAAACCACAGCATAAAGGCTGTTACATAATAAGTAAGAAGAAAGCTAGTTCTAACGTACCCTTACTCCCAAGTTTACTTTTAAATGTGTTATTATTAACCTCAACATGTGTCTTACTTTTTTCTTTTGGTAAGGAAAGGAAGATTATATAAGGCCTTAAATCAGGTACAGATGGCCTTCCGTATCAGTGGGTTTCACATCCATGAATTCAATCAACTGCAGATCAAAAATATTAGAAAAAAATTGTGTCTGTACTAAACATGTACAGATTTTTCTTGTCATTATTCCCTAAACAATTTACATAACAACTACTTAAATAGTATTTACATTGTATTTGGTATTATAAGTAATTTAAAGTATACAGGAGGATATGCATAGGTTATATGCAAATACGATGCCATTTTATATAAGGGACTGGAGCATCCCGAATGTTGGTATCTGCAGGAGGTTCCGGAACCAATTCCCCAGATACCAAAGGATGAATATATAATGAAGAACATCACATTTCTCAACTGTAATATCTTTTCCTTTCTTTTTCCCTTGATGCCCCTAGAATTTTACAAACTTAATGGCCATGATATACTTGCTGAATGAAAAAATTAAGAACTCATCAAAAGAACACATGTGGGGCAGGTCCAGTCTCTTCCTTGATCACACTCTATTGGATAAGCACTAACTTATTAGGGTATCATTAGCTTTTTCAGATTGTAAACTCCAATTCTCTTTTGCTACATCATTTAGAGATAAACACCACTGACATAGAATATGCTGATGTTGAATAGAAAACAGAGAAATATGAAGAATTCACGTCTCCGAAATGTGCATACCCGTCCATATAATCATTTGCTCTCTGTTCCGCAGCAACCGCCTTGTCATCAGGTTTCCCCACTCTTTCCAAGAAGCATAATGCTGGGTCTGCTCGAATAGTGTTGTATTTTTCATAACCTGGAAGCATCACCAATTACAAAAGTAAAAAGGGTAAAAAGAAGAAAGGTATATAAACATAAACATTCCTTGTATTTATGGTGCATGATATTCCTGGACTAAAGGGACCATATATTAAAATGACACAGGTTAAGTATGTTTTCTAGAAATTATCACAAATATTACATTATCTGGTAATATGTATCTATAAAAATTTACATTAAATTTATCAGTTAATATGAAAAATAGGATAACCTGTTCATACACACACACTCTCACACACACACACACATTTCACATAAGAACTCTTCCTGGGAGAGGACGTTGTGTGAGACTTACCTTCAGGAGATGAGGGTTACATACGCTACTCTCTCATGAGGAAATGTAGTGACTGACAGACATAGTTTGCTAAGTGCATGCTTTTAATGCTGTACGTATAACACAGCTGTTAATGGAATAAAGTTCTAAGTGGAAATCAACAGACTGAGAACTAGCTGAATTGCATTATACATAGAAGGGGATCTCACCTACCTTACTTCTTACTTACCATGTTTAAAAACTCCAATAAGGAGTGACTTATCAGCATCAAAGTCCCACCACTCGGCAGGAACTTCTGAGTGGTCTGGTTCTGGTACCCAAACATCAATGTCACTTAAAAAAAATTGATATAGCATTATGAATTATTACAAATGAGTTAAAAAGGCGGCAAAATTTTATCTAGTTTTTAAAGCATTGTGGCTTTTAGGAAAAAGAGGTTAGGATTTTATTTCATTAATTTAAAAAAATTTTCCGTAATTATCAGCAATTAAAATTGTAAAATTGCACAATTACAACAAAGATATCATAGAATGAACTAATATTGTTAAGCTGAACAGAAGAAGTAAGTTTCAACAAAAGTTTACTATACAATTCTCTTGAAGACTCTTATTCTTTCCACTTATTTCCTTTACTTATAGACAAAGGGTTCTATTGGAAAGCAGAGACTTATGTCGGACAACAACTTGGCAAAAATCATCTGGTTCAGATATTTCATTGTGCATATGATGACACTGAGGCCCTACAAGGGTAAATGAATCACTTCAGGCTGCAAAACCAGTAATGCCTCCTCTAGACTACTACTGCTAAGAAAATCACACTGAAAATGGCAAAGTTTCATTCATAAGGTGATTAAAAGACTCCCAGTGCTATTATTATGCTATATATAAATAATACCATGCCATAAAATAACATAATGGAGTACTAAAAACTAAAATAACAAATCCATAATGCTTTGGTAATTTGGCTGTTTTTATGAGTAAGAAATAACTATAGCACTGGCAATTTTGCAAACATAATATTCTTTTTCTTTGTTCATCACTTGAAATTATTTTCCCAGAAACCTTTTGCAAGTAGTATCTCTAAAGAGATAAAGATGTCATGTATAGAAGGACCGAAATATTCACTTTTTTACCATAGTGATTTAAGCCATTGTCTCCTTTAGCCTAGCACATAGTTAATGTCTGATAATGATTAGCAAGTATCATTCGTTTATATATATATATATATATATATA